GAGAAACCCTGTCTTGGAAAACAAAGCAAAAACATTTTTTTCTTTTTATACTTATTTATTTGCGTGTGTGTGTGTGTGTGTGTGTGTGTGTGCGCGCGCGCGCGTGCATGTGCGTGCCACAGTGTTTGAGAGGAGTTCAGAGATGACCTTTGGGGGGTGGGGTTGTCTCTCAGTCTCTCAGTCCTGGGGTTCAAACAGGCATAATGGCAAGTGCCTTTACTTACTGAGCCATTTCTCTGACTCTCTTTTTCTCCTCCTCCTCTTCTTTAATTAAAATTTCAAAAGACCAGGCTGGAGAGATGGCTCAGCACTGGCTGCCCTTCCAGAAGTCCTGAGTTCAATTCCCAGTATCCACATTGTAATGAGATCTGGCGCCCTCTTCTGGTCTGCAAGCACACATGGAGGCAGACCACTGTACTCATAATACATTGTGGTGATAGAAAAAAAAAATTCAAAATACTGAAAAGTTGGAAGAATAGAGAGCAAAGACCCTTAGCTGCCTTTACCCATTACACCTGTTTTCTCTACAAGAGTACCAATGTTATGCCCGTATTATGAACCCCCAAGAGCCTTTATTGCAAGTTTGAGCCTGGGCTTTCTGTCTGCTCCAACACAGGTTGCATTAGGGAGAGCATCGAGCTCAGCTATGGCAGGTTTCTTTTTCTTTTTCTTTTCTTTCTTTTTTTTTTTTTAAAGGGAATAAAGGGTAGGGGTAGAGAAATTCCGGATTCAGATGGGGGTTGAACTCCTGATTGGGCAGGGGTGTGGCAACAGAAGTCTTGTCAAACAGGGATTGGTACTGGCGTTGCTACAAGGAAATCGGCAACCTATATAAAAGTTATGTAAGCTCTTCTTAATGTTCTGGAGCATCTGTTATTTGCTTAAATCAATTTTGATTGGTTCCCTGCAGGGTAGTCTGTGGGTTTTCCTGGTTATTATAAGGATGAGGCCTAGTCCCAGTGTTGTTAGCCTACGGCCTATCATGGCTGCACTGATGTTAAGTTAGGCCTGTTCACATTCACATACATACATATATACACACACTTTCTGCATTTTTTTCCCCCACCATTTGAGGTAAGGTAATGATATTGTACTTTCTGCACAATCCATACACATCATCCCCATCCAGGAAACTTCTGTTTAGTAATATTTTATATTATACAGGTGCCAGTTACATTTCTTTTGGTGTGTGTGTGTGTGTGTGTGTGTGTGTGTGAGCCATGGCTGTCATTCTTCAAGCACTCTCCATGTTTTTTTTTTAAGATTTATTTTTAATAATGAGTATGTGTATATCTGTATGTGGACATGAGCATGTGAGTGCACATTCCCATGGATGCTGGACGAAGACATCAGATCCCCTGGAAAGGAAAGTATAGGGAGATGGGAGAGGGCTAAGTTGAAAAGCAGTCAGGCACAGTGTTGCATGTCTGCAGTCTCAGTGATCAGGATGCTGATGTAGAGGGTGTCACTGAAAGTTTGAGGCCAGGTGTGTGTGTGTGTGTGTGTGTGTGTGTGTGTGTGAAGATCCTATCTCCAAAACACCAGAAAAATGGGAGACATGAGACTTCATCTTAAAAAATAATGGGCATGGTGGATAACCCCAGTGCTGAATGGATAGGGGAAGGAAGATGGGTATTTGAAAGTTGTTCTTGAGAGGGTAAAGTTGTTCTCTGTGAGTAAAGGTGCTTGCTGTGCCTGTCTGGTGACCTGAGTTCAATCCCCAGAATCTACAAGAAGGTGGGGGGGAGAAACCCACTCCACAGAGTTGTCTTCTGCCCTCCTTGTGCATGTTCCTCCCCATAATAACGAGCAATTTTTATTTCTTTATTTTCTTTCCACCTGTTTTGTTCAGTGGCAACACCTCATTTCCTGGAAGTCTGCTCTACCTGTGTTGGCCTGGCACATAGGCACCATGCCATATTGGTATTTCCCCCTTCCCCTCCTTCCCAGAAGATCCTTGAATTAACAAATTTGGAGTCCTAACGTAAGACAGCTCTCTCACCTGGAATCTACTGGCTCTGCCTCTGGCTCTGATTGTGTTGTCTCTCACCAAGAACTCAGTACTGCACCGGGTGGTTGGACCATGAGAATGCAGTTCTTACTGCTTTGGTACAGGGAATCTAAGGTCAAGGTTGTGGTAGGCTGGCTCCCCCTGCATCCCAGAATGGGTCTGCAGGCCTTCCTTGCCCTCTGTTCTGATGGCTGTCCTCTGTGTGTCTCTGATATTAGCTCTTTTTTCTTTTTCTTTTTTTAGCTAGGCGTACATTCTACCTCGGAGCTACACCCGTAACTTTTTATTTTGAGATGGGGAGTGGGTCTCACTGAGATGTCTTGGCTAGCCTTGGACTCATTCTTTAGCCCAAGGCAGGCCTTGACCTTGCAATTTCCTTGCCTGTTTGGGTGCACAGTAGTCCTTGTACTCACAGATAACACAGGAATGTGAAAGACACAGGGCTGTCTTTTTCAGGGGGAAGGATGTATAACCTGTTTTCCCTTCAGAGGGCTGAGAATAGAGGTAGCTAATAGTCTAGGTAACTCCTGCGCTATCTCTAGGGCCAGGCCATAGCTGGCTCCCCCCAAGCTTTTACAACCAGGAGCGGAGGTGGCTAATAGTCTAGATGACCTCTACACTATCTATGTGACCAGGGGTTCCCCCAGGCTTCCAAAGAGGACTGGAGGTGGTTGATAGCCCAGATGACTTCTGTACTCTCTGTATGATGGAGTCCATGTCCTTGGCCCTAAGGTGACTCATGTAGCCTATCTCAAGAGCTCGTCTTCATGGAAGAAGTGACATGTACTTTGAGGAGAGTTTTGATGTAATTTTGCCTCTTTGTGCAAATAGGATTGTGTTAAACCAGGAAACATTTTCCCAAATTGTGCTGTGCCTAAGTGTACCTAAAATAAACTGCCTGGTATCGGGCTCTAGAAGTCTGAATCAACACTGACTACTGACGTGTTGAACCAGATTTCCTTCTTGCCTCATTCAGATCATTATTCTGTCATCCCTGGTGTTTGCATAGATAACCCCCCCCCCCACACACACACACACATGCATCTGCCTCAGCCTCATCAGACAGGGATGATAAGCCTGTCCCACTGACACACTGTCTTATAACAAACTCTGCCCTATTACACTCGCCTACCTTAGTGGTCTCACTGTACACAAGTCACTTCTTTAAAGACCCTGTCTTCAGATGTTCCTCACCAGGGACTAGGAGCTTCACGGATTTAAGAGAACGCAGCTAGCTGAACACTTATTTCCATAAAAGTCTGTGGGTCTCCTTCTATGTCTAGCTTTGCCGGAGGGACCAGCATGTTCTCCAGCTGAGTGGCTGAAAGGGCATGGCTGGGACCTGCCCTGGCTTGTCCTCTTCCCCTGCTGGCCAGTTCACAGCCTGAGGAAGAGCCTCTATCTGGATCTGTCCTCCCAGGAGCCCCTCCTTGCTACCCCGTCACGTCTGACTGGACAACCGCAGCAGCCCCTGAGCCTCTGCCACTTACAGTGGACCAGGTGACCATACTGAGCTGTTTCAGTTGCCTATGTTGAGTCCTCTTCTGGCCCCATTTTCCAGCTGGGAAAACCAAGGCCTGGAAGATACAGCATGAGTCAGAATGTAGCTTCCCGGGCAGCTGGTGCCATTAAAAGCTGTTCTGCCGCCTGCCTGCTTCCCTCCCCCTTCCTTTCTTATGTTCTTTTTGTTTGTTTGTTTCTTGCTTTGTTTGTTGTTGTTATTTGGTTGGTTGATTTCTTGAAGCAGGGTCTCCCTATGCAAATTCTGTCCTGGAACTTTTTATGTATATATGTAGACCAGGCTAGCTTAGAACTCACAGAGATCTGCCTTCGTCTGCCCCCTGAGTACTGGGTGGGATTAAAGGTACACACCACTATGCTTGCTTTTTATGTTTTTCTTTTCTAAGATTAATTTTAGTAAAAAGTGTGTGTGTGTGTGTGTGTGTGTGTGTGTGTGTGTATGCATGCATGTGTGCACGCGCGCGCATGCAAGCACAGAGAACAGAGGAAGACATCAGATCTCCATAGAACTGGAATTACAGGCAGTTTTAAGCTGTCCTGTTTATGTGCTGGAGACTGAACTCAGGACATCATTATCCATTTATATCTTCAGTCGTGGTTTCAAGTTTTTTGCTAGGTGTATATAATATCACTCCTAGTTAGGGTTAATGCTATTGTGATGAGATACCACTACCAAAGTAGCTTGGGAGGAAAGTGTTTATTTGGCTTATACATCAAATGGTCATCAGTGAAGGGAGTCAGGACAGGAGCAGGAACCTGGAGGCAGGAGCTGATGCAGGGTGCTGCTCACTGGCTTGCTCCTCCCCATGCCTTGCTTAGCCTGCTTTCTTATAGCACCCAGGACCACCAGCCCAGGGATGGCACCATCCACAATGGGCTGGGCCCTCCTTCATCAGTCACCAGTTAAGAAAATGCCTTACAGGCTTGCCTACCACCTGGTCTTATTTCTTCACCGAGACTCCCTCCTCCCTGATGACACTAGCATTGCCAAATTGACAGGAAACTAGCCAGCAAACTCACTCAAAAGAAACTAAGGAAATCAAGCAGTAAGTAGTATGGTTTTCTGACTCCTCGGTCAGCTGGATTTTCTGATTCTCCTAGAAAGCTAATGAAATTCTCAGAGGCCACAGACAGAGAGCATGAACCTTGTCTCAGATTTCAGAGTTGGTCCCTTGGAGAGCCAGCTGCCCTGGAAGCATCTTGAGGGCAGAAACTCCCAGGCAGAGGAGGCAAGTATGATGACCAAGAGCCACCCATTCTTACCCTAAGTGTTGCTCCTGTGTATAGAGGAGTGTGCTTTCCATATTCTACATGGCAGTGGGCCAGCTGTCAACTCTTGTTCACTGCTTGGCTATAGACTGCCCATGAGGCAGCTCCTGGTTTTCCTCTTCCAAGTTCATGCTTCAGTGTTTGACTGGATTGGGAAAGACTGTAGCTCAGGTTTCTGACTGTCTTCTCTTCCCTGCAGTTGCTGTCCAGGCTGACTGAGCGCTTCGTGCAGGGAGTGGACATGTTCGTGGAGACATTATGGAAAGTCTGGATGGAGCTCTTAGAAGTCCTTGGACTTGACGGTAGGTATAGGGATGATCATGCAAGGGTGTGGTGTGTTTTGTTTTGGGGTGCAGTCTCACTATGTAGTAAATCTCCATGCCTCCAAGAACTGAGGGTACGAATGTGAGAGTGTTAAGGGGATGGAGCATCACTTTACCTTTAATAACTGAATGTGGAGTCCACAAAGCTTCGAAGGCCGTGAAGATGATGGAGGCATAGCCTGTAGTGATGATGATGTCATATGGGCCATGGACCACCTGGAGCCCCCAGAAGCTGAGAGAGGCCAGAAGGATGCTCCTAAGAGCTCTCATTCAGGTGTACTCAGAGCTGTGTTTCAGCATTTAGCCAAAGACAAAGTCAGAAGAGAGAAAAGTGTGAGTGGAGGACTCGGGAGAACACGCTTTGAGAGTGTGGTCCTAGACATGCACTTTTGGCCTCTGGAACTGGGAGAGAGGATGGAATTCACCATCTAGTAATCATCAGCCACCTGGTGTACACACAGCCTTGTAACAAGCCCTCTCAGATTCCTTATTAGTTCAAGGCATCCCTTCTTTACAGATCTGGGACCAGGGTTCAGTGTGGAGCCATACTGTTCAGGTGGGACCCATACATCACTGCTGTTGTTAGTTCTGCACCACTGAACTCACTGCTAGCCTGGGATCATTGAGTTTAACCTTCGGAAGGCCTCACACCTTGCCACTCAGATGGAGAATGGGAGGCAGAGACGGTGGCTCTCAGAGGATGCTGTGCAGCACGCTGCCCCCAGGGCAGTTACAGCCCTCCCTGGGACTGAGTTGACTGAGTCAACACTTCGCCAAACACTGCAACTGTGTGCAATCCTTCGAGGCTGCCTCAGCCATCCTACTGGGATTGCGCAATTCCAGGTTGCTATCCCTGGGCGGAGGGCCTGTGTAGATAAACGTGATTGCAAGGAATTGCATGCTGCCCAGGCTGGGAAACTGCAGAGCTGGACAGCTGCAGGACACCAGGCATGGTTGAGGAACATAGGCCTGTTTCCATCAGCTGAGAGAAGCTGATGGGGGAGGTGAAATACTTGTTTGTGAGGTTTGTGTTTCTTTCTTGCCTTTGATAAGTTGCAGGGTACCCTAAAGCCTTGGGGAATTGTGCCTCAAGCTCAGTAGGAGTGACAGTTGCCTCTCCAGGAACCATAGCCAAGGTTCTCAGTTCTCAAGCACTTCCCCATCATTTTTCACCGTCTTAGTTACAATGAACGCTCCTCCACTTGGATTGGTTTGATAGAAATAAGCTTTGAGGTATATAGAAATTTTCTACTGGTCATGTTACAGGGAAAAGAAATTGGTGAAGGCCAGGTGTGGTAGAGTAGGCCTCTAATCCTAGCACTCCGGAGGCAGAGGCAGGCGGATCTTTGAGTTCCAGGCCAGCCTGGTCTACAGTGAGTTCCAGGACAGCCGAGGCCACACAGGGAACCCTGTCTAGAAAAACCAAAGAGAGAGGAAGAAAAAGAGAAAGAGACTGATGAAATTTACCCTGGCATGGTGGCTCATGCCTTTAATCCCAGTACGCAGAGGCAAGCAGATCTCTGTGGGTTCAAGGCCAGCCTAATCTACCTCAGACCCCTGTCTCAAAGTTGGTAAAATCAATTTTACTGTTTTTGTTTTGTTATTACTTTTGGTTTTGTGGTTGTTGTTCTGCTTTGTTTTTGAGGCAGGGTTCATTTGTACTCCCCACACCAGCCTCAAATTCACTCTGGTGGGTCAAGGATGACCTTGAAATTCTGATTCTCCTCCTACCTTAGCCACTGTGACCAGCTTGAGAAGATAGCTTATTGCAAGCACAAGGATTTGAGTTCAAACCCGGACACCATTTTTGTAAAAATATTTTTTGAGATTTATTTATTATTTTTGTGTATGGGTGTTTTGTCTGCACCACATACATGCAGTACCTGAGGATTTGCCCCCTGGGACTGGAGTTACAGGTGGTTGTGAACCACCCTGTGGTTGCTGGTAATTGAATTGGGTTCTCTGCAAGAGTGCTTTTCACCACTGAGCCATCATCTTACAAAAGCCTTACAAAAGATGTTTTAAACTCATGATGCCACAAACAGTCCCGGGGATGGCGGGCACCTGTGCTTCCTCCACTAGTTTGGAGGTTCAAGACCTTGCATCACTTTGGAGCCTGTCCTGGAACTAACTCTGTAGATCATGCTGGCCTCCAACGCAGAGATCTGCCTCCCAAGTGCTAGGATTACAGGCTTGCGCCACCACTGCCCAGCTTCTAGTGCTTGCTTGAATTGCCTTTCATTGTGTTGGATTGTGGCAGGAGCCTCTGATCTCCGCTCTCCCACCTGCTTTCAAAGAAGGTCCTGACTATGTGGGAATAACTGGCCCTGTCCTTTGTTCTGTTTCGCAGTGTCCAACCTGTCACAGTACTTCAGCCCGGCCTCCGTGTCCAACAGTCCCGCCCGGGCCCTGGTGCTGGTTGGTGTGGTCCTCCTGGCCTACTGGTTCTTGTCTCTGACCTTGGGTTTCACCTTCAGCCTCCTGCACCTGGTGTTTGGCCGCTTCTTCTGGCTTGTACGTGTCATCCTGTTCTCCATGTCCTGCGTGTATATCCTACATAAGTACGAGGGTGAGCCTGAGCACGCCGTGCTACCGCTCTGCCTGGTGGTGGCCATTTACTTCATGACAGGGCCCATGGGCTACTGGCGAGGAGGTCCCGGTGGCCTTGGCAGCCCCAGTGTGGAGGAGAAGCTGGAACACCTGGAGAACCAGGTGAGATTGCTCAACATCCGCCTCAACAGGGTGCTGGAGAACCTTGACCGCTCCAAGGACAAATGAAGGTCAGTTGCCTGGCCGCCCAAGGGTGCCACCCGCAGTGATGTCAGAAGACACAGAAAGAAGAAAACAGCCGGCAGCCCCACCAAACCCCAACCCTCCCAATAAACTGAGCAAGAATGCCACGCCTGGTATTTCCCACTGTGTGTCGACCTTAAGACCCCCTGGAGGAGAAAGAACTTAATGTAGAACTTAATCAGAAGGTTGCTAGTGGGAAAAATAATTTTTTAACAATGGATATACCCCTATTAGCTGTGTAGTCAGAGAAATTTATCTGCATAGACCATAAAGTTGATTTTTCAAACATTTAAATCTTTTGTAAGGTTTTTAAATAAAGGCAGATCCAGTCAAGTTTATCAGAACTTTGAAGGAAGCACTTGAAGATTTTAAGGAAGTTTAAATTGGCTGCTGGGTAAGTGCTGTGTGCGTTATCTTCCTACTCCCGAATGTGACCTTTATTTTATGTCTTCTGAGATGGTGTTGACTTGGTTCATGAATGCTGTTATTGTGCACACTCCGGCTTCAGAGTGGAACCAGATCACGTTTGGATCCTAGGGACCCTGTGCGCTCCTTCCATTGTGTTCCTTCACGTCTTTCTGTTTTTATGGTGCTGGGGATGCTGAGCCTACCCCTACCCCTGTCCATTGTGTTTCTGAATGAAGGTACCCATAGGTGTCCTGGGATCTTTTTCTCTTCCCTGGACTTTAATATAGTCTAACACCCGGCCTTCCTAGAATTAAAATACATAGATGGGGCTTCAAAATGTCTTTGGAGCTTGATGCCAAGAACTTCCTGGGTGGGCCTTGAAGATTATTCCAGAATCTAGCTGAATCTTACATTCCCTATTTGCCAGGTAGGTCCATATAGCCAGCTGAACTCTGACAGGATTTGCTTATTTGTTTCATTTGCTTTTAATTGACTCAAGACCATAGAAGAAACTATTTGTGGCCAGTAACATCTTTCATTTCATTGATTCTAGAACATTCTTAGACATAAGCAACCTTGATATGAATTGTTTGTTGTCCTGAATTTTTTTTTTTTTTTTTTTTTTTTTGAGATAGGCTGTCTCTGTAATGCTTTAGAGGCTGTCCTGGAACTTGCTCTATAGACCAGGCTGGCCTTGAACTCACAGAGACCCGCCTGCCTCTGCCTCCTAAGTGCTGGGATTAAAGGCGTGCCCCTCTAACACCTGGCTGTTTGCCTTGAAATTTTTATGATTATGTGTGTTAGTTGCTTTTTGCCTGGGGTCCAGGGAGTTGTTTCAGCTTAGCCTCTGGGAGAGGGGGTGGTGGGCAGAGAATTGGGCCGGAGGCTGGAAGCAACACCCCTCTGACAGGACACTCTGAAAAGAAAGCAGGATGTGGCTGGGATTGTCATTGTCTCTGTGGACCTTCAGTGTACCCTGGAGTCACTGAGTCCCAGCTTCAGCTTGGTGGAGCCGGAGGCACCTGTCAGTTTCATGGCAGACCATGGTAGAGGGACCCAGCTGACACCAGCTCTGGTGCCCTGTGTCAGAAGTTCTGTTTGGAGTTGCAAGTGTCTGGAGTACAGATACAGATCTTTCTGAGGAAGTGTCTGAGACCTCTGTTCTTGTGACCATATGGGGTTCACACCTGCTTGAATTTCATTCATTTGTGAAACTCATACTGGGGAAATCTCTCCATGAACATTGGCTACACATGACCTCTGGTGTGAGACATTATGTATTGTTTAGCTACTGTAAACAAATCTACGTGCAGCACAGGGTGTAAGTAACTGGGGGATGGTACATTGGTGGCTAACATCATCTTTCCTTCCAAATGTTTGGCCATATCATAACAAAAGATTGCTTTGCAGATATTGGCTATCAGCTTCTGAAAAACTGAGCATCCCTGTTCTTGCCTTGGCTCCTTTCGTTGGTGGCCACAGAGATGTTCTATTTCAGGTCCTAGACAGTCCACTGTAGCAGAGTGTGCAATCCCAGTATTCAGGAGGCAGAGGCAGGAGGATTGCTGCTATTTTGAGGCTAGCTCAGTTTATGTGGTATATGCCAGGCCAGCCAGGATTACATAGCAAGACCAGAAGCCAGGTTTAGTGGCACACAAGAGCCAGAGGCAGGCAGATCTCTGAGTTTGAAGCCAGTCTGGTCTATATAGTGAGTTCCAGGACAATCAGAGTTATATACATCGAGACCTTGTCTCAAAACATAACAAGAAAAAAAAGTTAAAAAAAATCTGCAATATTTTTTTCCAACCTGACCAAATGTAGACTCTAAAGCCAGTTTTATGGTTTGATATCTATAATACAATATGCCTTCATTTTCATTTAATTATTTCTTTCAGATTGGGTCTCATGTATCCTAGGCTGGCCTTGAACTTGCTTAAGTAGCTGAGATGGGCCTTAAACTTCTGATCCCTCCTGCCTCCACCTCCTGAATGCAGGGATAATAGGGTTGGGACCTAGGCTATGTGCATACTAAGAGAGCACTCTAGAGTCCAGCCCCAGGATGCCTTCATTATAAATGGAAGAATGCACATGTCAGAGTAGATTGTACTTGAAGTTCTAGTAGAACTTGAGGTGGTAGATGCATATTTATTTTCCTTGTTTGGATGTATTTTTTTTTTTTTAAGGCAAGGTCTCTGCATACATAGCCCTGGCTACCCTCCAATTCAGAGATCCATCTGCCTCTGCCTCTCGAGTGCTGCTGTTAATGGTGTGAGTCACCATGCCTAGCACTGTTTGGATGTATTCTTAACCCCCACCTAGTTAGAGATTTTTGCCTAATTTCACCAGAAAGCCGGCGCTGGTGTGTACTTGTAGCTACAAAGATTTTCCAAGGCACCCTTCCCATCCTCTTTTACTTTCAGGTCCTGGGCACTTGAGCTCTATTCCCAGCATGCAAGCTGCTTTCCAAAACAACCTGTGACCATTCTACAATGTTTTTGTTTGTGACCATTTAAGTACTTGGACTTTGTGCTCCTCACCTGTGAATTGTAGAATTATATATATCTATATTTTGTGGGTTCTAACCTAATACTCTTACCCTGGGCAGCTGCCAATATGTCCAGACTGGTATCAGCAAACTTCAGCCCATTGCACCCTTCTGTGTTTTGTTCTTTGGTGATTCCCTCCATAGCTAGGACAGACACGGAGAGCCTGTTTTCTGTCTTGGTGGCCCAAGAAGCACACTGTTTGCATTGCCACCTGGACGGCTATGGCAGCTGATGGCATGACTGACTCTTTGCCCTGATGTCTCTGCGGATTTCAAGCTTTTACTGTTGTGTCAGCTTCCTGTCTGCATCTGTGATAAATCTCTGAATATCCTACAATTAAATTAATTTCTTGTGACAGTGACTAATGTGCAGTTAAATCCCCTATGAGGTAATTATTTCCCTGTTCTTAGCTGCAAATCATATTCTTTTTTTTTTTTTTTTTTAAACCAATGATATCTTCATGGCTGAGTTCTTGTTTTGTGCCTCAGCTTAGAAATTTTATATAGTATATTTAGTTCAACACAATAGAAAGCCATTCCGTGAACATAGTGGGGGGGGGGTGCGTGCACACGCACGCATGTGCATATACCATAGTTGGGAAGCTGATTCTACGAATATCTAATATAGAAAAAAAGCACCAGGCTTATTATTTTTTTGCAAAGTGATAGATACATTCCTCTTATTTATTAATCATTGGATTTGATGTTAGAAGTCTTTGTGGATTGACTTAAGAACTGGATTAAAACATTGTGAACATTAGAGCTTAATAAATGTTTACTGTAATTTTGTTGTTTGGACTCTTGGATGGATTTCTTCACTTTGGTGAAGTACCTGTGGTAACTCCCCTAATTAAACATTCATTTTATTTTATGTGTAAGACTGCCTTGCCTGCATGACTATATATGTACTTTGTGAGTTTCTGATGCTCTCAGAGGTTAGAAGAGGGGGTCAAGTCTGAACACCTGGAATTGGACTTACTGATGTTTGTGAACCACCATCTACAAGAACAGCAAGTGAGATAATGAGAGATTCAGTCTAAGGCGTGGTTACTAAATTCTTGGAGAATTAAGGAAGAAAGTCTGTTTCTTCCTTGTATCATGATTTTAAAAGAAAAAAAAAAAAAAAAGGAACAGCAAGTACTCTTAACTACTGAGCCATCTTCCTGGCCCAAAGATTATTTATTTTAAACTTTTTTTGGGGGGGGGGGTTTCTGTGACTTTGGAAGCTGTCCAGGAGCTTGCACTGTAGACCAGGCTGGCCTCAAACTCAAGAGATCTGCCTGCCTCTGCCTCCGGAGTGTTGACATTAAAGACGTGCACCACCAACACCTGGCTAAGATTAATTTTTAAAAAAGATTTATCTATGTGTATGAGGGCTTGCATTTTTGGCACTGTGTGCATATGGTCCCCTCAGGGCCCAGAAGAGGACATGGATCCACTAGAGCTGGAGTTACAGATGAATGTGAAATGCTATGTGGGTGCTGGGAAACAAACAAGGATGCTCTTCAAGAGCAGCCAGTGCTCTTAACCATGGAGCCACCCCTCCAGCCCCATCATTCATATTTACATTTATTTTATTATTGAGAAGAACCTCACTAAGTAGTCCTGACTGTCCTGGAACTCACTTTGTAGACCAGGCTGATTTTGAACTCACAGCAATTCACCTGCCTCTGTCTCCTGAGGGCTGGGATTAAAGGCGTTCACCACCACTGCCTGACTATTTTAAAATTATTTTGAATTCTCCTTTCATGTGTTTGGAGTTGCCCGCAGAATCCTAAAGAGAAAATTGGATCCCTTGGAGCTGGAGTTACAGGTGGTTGTGAGCCACCTTAGATGGGTACTGGGAGCCAAATTTGAGTCCTCTGAAGAGCAGTGCAGACATCAGCAATAGCACCAATAGTGTTACTGAAGAGTTGGAGAGAGAGGTAAGGGTAGAAAGGGCAGGAGAAAAAAGAGGGATCCACTGTGAAGATATGAAGATGGGACACTGGGGACCTTGTAGCTGGAAGGATCCTGGAAGCTACTAAGCATTAAGGGCCAAGCCTATGGTTGTCAGAAATCATGGGGTGGCAGGATGATGGGGGTGGTGGATGGAGGAAGCCAGAGTGCTGGCCTCTGCTGTCTTTGGCTTCAGCTAGTGGTGTCAGCAGGCAGGTGGTGCCCTCTAGCGTTGCAGGGCTCAGCTCTAGGAACTTTAACCCAACATGTGCTCCAAGTTTAATGTGGCTCTAGAAATTGAGATTTTTTTTTTTTTTCCAGCTTGGGTGTATCAGGCCTTTTATCTTCCAGGCCCACCAGCTATGAAGATTCTTCAGTTCTTCTTGGCAGCTGGTGTTCCAGCTCTCCGTTGGGTCTGGGAAGTTGGAATGCCCTATCTCTTATGGGTCTAAA